CCCCTGGTCTGTCCCCTAACCCCACAGCCAGTGGCAGGGCTAGAAGCAAAATCCGTGGATGCTGGATACAGGTCTGCCGCCTCTGCAGGGTCACCTCTGCCACGATGCCCTGTTCAGCTGGGTGGAGCAGGGAGGTGGGTGCCCATTATCCCAACATTGTGCCCTTCGCCCCAAGGGCAATGCCCACACGCTGTGCCCACTCTCCGGGCCTCGCTGGGCTGCCTGTTACCTTGCAATGGGGTAAAGTTACACCCAAACATTAGATGCTTTTCCCCGCTCCAAAACCACCTGCTTGGTAGAAATAACAGCTGAAAATCCCTCCTAATAGTTGTGAGGCCTAAACTGGTCAGAGACATGACCCCAGCCCACCTGCACATTGCGGTGCCCAGCTTGCCCAAGCACAGAGCCGGCAGGAGGATTGATGCTGAGCTGCGTGCAGGGGTCAGCAGGTCCATTGTCCCTGCGATGCCCAGAGCAGGTTTTTGGGTGTATGGTCTGCACAAAGTTAAAATCCCAGAAAGCGCCCAGAGCAGAGGCTGAGAGGATCTGCTGCAAAGCAGCTTCTGGAAGGTGCTCCTAGGGGCTCAGCTAACCCCGTTTTACAAAGAGGAGTGTGCATACGTGTGTGTTCATGTGCACACAGAACTGCTGGCTAATTGATCAGGCTGTGGTTTCAAAGAAGCAGGTTTACTCCCTTCCTTTCATCTTTATTGACTAAAATAAATCCCAGTCCCAGCTGCCCCCCAGCGTGGGAGCAAGGGGAGGGCATGGACCAGGGGGGGATGCCAAGGGGCCTCCCCTTGCCCATGGTCCAGCTTCTCCCATCGCTGGGGGGCTCAGCAAGGCAGGTTTTCTGGCGTCTCATCACCCTCTGCCTTCAGCTAGCTACCAGGACAGAGCGAGGGGAGATACCCCAAACCAGAGTCTTGGCTTGGTAAGCTACAACCCCCGGGAGGAGGCAGGCACCCCAAATTGAGAGAAAATAAACCCATAATTGAGAGCCATCAGCCCTTAAGCAAAGCACCAGGACCAGGGGGGCGTTGGGCTGCCTCAGTGATTACTGAGGCCGGCGGCTCGTCAGCGCAATGTGGAGCATCTGGGCCAGTAGCTACAAGTAGCTTGAGGGCTGCAGACCCGGCTAAGGCACGTCTCTGTCCTGTCTGGGCTCTTGGGCTTCATGGAGCAGCAACTGAGGCCGTGCACCAGCCCAAAGCAGGTAGAGATTCTCCAGGTGCCAGAGGGGTTGTTTCTGCTCGGGGCACTGTCAGAGCTTTGGAGGGTGTCTGACCTTTCTCTCTCTGTCTAGGGGAGGCTGGTTACCTGCCATGAGCCCTGCTCCTTCTCCAGCAGGTTCCTGTGCCAAATCCTCCAGCTGACTCCTGTCAAGTATCTGGTAGGTGATGTTCCTGCTGCTGGAGGAGTTTGAGGCTGAGGGGATGGAGTGATAAAATCTTGAGACTGGCAGTTCCTTTGGTTTCTCTGCCAGATATTCTGTCTTCTTTCAGTCTTTTCCCTTTGTCCTGTGCTCAGTGTGTGCTTGTCCTCTGCTTTCCTCCCCATCCCAGCTTTTGCCCTCTGCCTGGTTTGGACTTGCCTTGCTCCCCTTCTGCTAATGGTTGTTGCAGCATTCATGTTTCACTCCTTCTCTGGTCCAGGAGAGACAGGAGGTCTTTGGGTTAAAGGTACAATCTAACTGGTCTTGTTTTACCTGCCTGAAGTTGGTCCCAACTCAGCTCCACGCTGGGACAGAGCAGAGTCTAAGAGTTTCACTGAGGACTTTAAATAGCTGCAAGTTCTCACATGACCTACTGTAACTCTCTTGTTTGCAGATGAAGATCGTTCAGAAAGCATCAGCCTGGATTGGATTCGCGGTCCCTGTGGAGACCGTTATCAGCAAAGTCTCCCCCACGCAGTCTCCCACCAGGCCTGGACAACTTGCCAGGAAGCGTCGGGGGACACTAATGCGCCTCCTTCTCTTCATTGTCCCCACCAGGATCCAGAACTTCCTGGGCTACCTGCCAGCAGACTGGGGCCAGAGCAATATGCCCAAGGGTAAGAGCTGGGGCCTCCTGGCATGACACAGAAACACATTAGGTCTGGAACTCCCACGCTGGGTAGAAAGCTAGGAAACACACAGATGTTTGTTCTGTATGTGTTGTGATTTGTGCCTCCTATGAATCCCTGCAGAGATCCAAGAAGCTCTGATCAACCCATCTCACAAAGCAAGTAAGAGGAAGCAGGATGACATAGCTCTGGATGAGCAGGAGTTGGTGCTACTGGGGAGGGACTTGCTAGAGGATGACCCTGCAGATGTCACGTATGAGGTATGACACTCTGGCTGCTGAGCAGGTTTGTTCCTCAGGGGCTCAGCAATTTGGAGACAGTTGTGTTTAGCCTCTGTGTGCTCCTGGTAGAGTGGGAGTGTCACTGCCCAGGTCTGCAGAGGAGCCTGTGCAGGGAGCTGTAAAGAGATTTCCTTTATTGTACACCCTTTGTGGGCTGTCCGAAGAGCACTTGAACATCACTTCAGTGTCTGAAGGTGTGGGTGCCCCACTCATCCCATAACACTGAGTTTCCCGTTGGTTGATGTCCCTGCAAAGCAGCATCTCTGTCACCTTTGGCTGTCTGGCTGTGGTTCCCAGTACCATTGGGAATGGTGTGTCCTTCCTCAAACTGCCTCTTTCCTCCCCAGCCCTCGGAGGTGGAAACTGATAGTGAGGAGTACAAGTCCCAGAATGACACTGAGGCAGACCTGGAGCTTGAAGAGCAGAATGGGATCATCATGCTGAAGGAGTCCTCAGGTCTCCAGGTGAGTGTGCCTGCCCCATGCTGGCTGCAGACTTGGTCCTGGGTACATTTGTGAATACTGGGCTGGAGGGATGTACTTCAGTCCTTGTTCCCTCGGTGGCTACAGGAGAGGTGTTTGAGGTTACTCAGTTTCATGAGATCACTCATGGGTTTTGTGCTGCCCTTCCATGGAGCTGCAGGGTGAGCGTGCCCATCTCTGGAAGTGGAGGACATACAACCCACTGGGCTTAGTGATACCCCCGGAGTTGCTGCTGCAAGCACAGAGCTGGGACCAGAGGGTCCAGCTGGGTCCAGCAGTGGGGAAGATGCTGCAAATATTGATAATGGTAATGCCCAGAAGCCACAAGCTGATGTGAGCAGGAGGTTGATATCAGCAGATTTTGATGACAGCAGCAGTTTGTCACAGTATTGGGCAATGACTCCTCTGTGCTGAGTCAATCCCACCCACCCTCTTTTAGTGTGGAGCAGAGGAGGTGTCACAAGCTCAGAGGTGTTTCAGCCTGGGAGGATGTCCCCAGGCTCTGAGCCTTTGACATAGTTCTCCCTTCCCTTTGCTGCCAGGTGAACTAGGAAAGGGTCGTAGGGGCTCCAAGTTCTTCTCCCTGAGCAAAGAGACAACCTCAGTCCCCATATGTTGTTGAGATGATGCTGGATGTGTGCAGTGTCATGGGCATCTTCACTCCCACGTGACAGGACTGCCAAATGCCAGTGAAGCATCTTGTGCTGGTACCCAGGGCAGCCACCTCTGAACCAGACCCACTAGCAGCAGGTCACCATGAGCCCTTCCTCATTTATTGGCCCAGATACCTTTCACTTTACAGTCGGGGGGA